TGCACACCTCTCTTACTGCACACCTCTCTTACTGCACACCTCTCTTACTGCACACCTCTCTATACCGCACACCTCTCTATACCGCACACCTCTCTATACCGCACACCTCTCTATACCGCACACCTCTCTTACTGCACACCTCTCTATACCGCACACCTCTCTTACTGCACACCTCTCTATACCGCACACCTCTCTATACCGCACACCTCTCTATACCGCACACCTCTCTTACTGCACACCTCTCTATACCGCACACCTCTCTTACTGCACACCTCTCTATACCGCACACCTCTCTATACCGCACACCTCTCTATACCGCACACCTCTCTTACTGCACACCTCTCTATACCGCACACCTCTCTTACTGCACACCTCTCTATACCGCACACCTCTCTATACCGCACACCTCTCTATACCGCACACCTCTCTTACTGCACACCTCTCTATACCGCACACCTCTCTTACTGCACACCTCTCTATACCGCACACCTCTCTATACCGCACACCTCTCTTACTGCACACCTCTCTTACTGCACACCTCTCTTACTGCACACCTCTCTTACTGCACACCTCTCTTACTGCACACCTCTCTTACTGCACACCTCTCTATACCGCACACCTCTCTTACTGCACACCTCTCTACTCTCTATACTGCACACACCTCTATACTGCACACCTCTCTATACCGCACACCTCTCTATACTGCACACCTCTCTATACCGCACACCTCTCTATACTGCACACCTCTCTACTCTCTATACTGCACACACCTCTATACTACCCGCTCACTGTTTGTTCTTAATAATGTCCCCACTCTGAATGCTCTGATCAGAAATGTTATAAGTTCATGAAACGCTCTGAGGGCTCTATGTCCAAAGTACAGCTTTGGGTAAGTTTATAAAGCTCTCGTGTAAGCATTCGATCCTTATGCTACATGTAGCATAAGCTGCATGTAGCTCTATAGTCAGTCGGTTGTGTTTAAAACCACAAGAAAAAAATGCATTGCTTTTTTGTTACATGAAAAAATCTTTACCTTATCTTCTAAATGTCTGAAATTGGTGATTTTTGTAGCGATTAAAACAATCGATGGGCTGGAAAAAAGAGACAGATCACGCTCGTAACAGGTAATCTAATAGGAGAGCGTGATTTCATGCCCACTTTTTTGAGAAAACTACCCACAATGCCGTGCGGGCGAGCCGGGAGCTCGGAACTCTTGATCCCTGTATAATAGGCGAGATCGCGGCACCTGATTTTTGTCGTTAATGTGAAACTGCACTTGATACGGGTTTCCCAGGAAAGTGCTTGCAATCAGGCCGTCGTAGATCTGGTCCAGACGAAGAAGGCTGCCAGGAATCACATGATACTTCAACGTATCAGAATCCTATTGGAGGACAAGAGGTGAGAGGAAGCGCCTAGAAAAGACCACATCTTTAAACTTAAGTGTTTCTGTTCTTCTAATCTACACGTAGTAGCCCAGTGGTAAGAGCTGTTGCCTCTCTATGTTAATGTCAACTTAATTTGCAGAGCACATGCTCAAAGTGCTTCACATGCACACACTTTGTATGTAGAAAAACCAGCAAGAATTAAACATGTGAAATAGAGACTGAGAAACAAAGTCAGCAATTAAATTGTTGTTTTCAACGTCTTGTTTCCATCATCACCGTGTGGAGAGAATGGAGAATATCTGAATTCTGAACATTTTAAAGTGCATTGGGTGACCTTGGTCTGAAAAAATGTGCCATACAAATAAAGATTACTGTATTTTCACATTACCAGCTTAGTGATGTTCTTCCTTTGAATGTATTCTGTGATGGCCTCGTCTGTGGGAAGCAGCAGAGTGAACCATCTTTTTTCAAAATATCTAGGATCGAACCAGTTACGAATTTCGAGCTCGACAAAAAGATTATACATCTGGAAAAAAGAGAGATTCTATGAATAGCTTTGACATAATAAACAGAAAAATATAAAATATGAATCTTCGGTCAAAGATAATCCTTCGGAGTGATCAATTCTCTTTACCGTCACGTATAATAATAATAATAATAGATTTTATTTATAATGCACTTTACATTTCAGGGAAACCTCAGAGTGCTACAAAAACAGGGAACATCCCCAAGATACACAACATAAAAACAATACATCAAATATAACATCAGGAAAAAATAAAATAAAATAAAACATAATTACTGTACATATCTAGAAGGCCTGTTTGAATAGGAATGTCTTTAGGCCTTTCTTAAAAGCCTCCACACTTTGTGGGGCCCTGAGGGTTTCTGGGAGGGCATTCCAGAGCCGGGGGGCTACTGCCTGAAAGGCCCTATCTCCCATGGTGGAGAGTTTGGTCCTGGGTTGGTGCAGGCAGTGGGAGGAGGTGGTTGAACGGAGACTTCGAGAGGCGGTGTGTGGTGTTAGGAGTTCACTGAGGTAGGCAGGGGCAGTTCCGTGTGTGCATTGATATGTGAGGAGGCAGAGTTTGTACTGTATTCTGTGTTTGATGGGCAGCCAGTGGAGTGATTTGAGGACGGGTGAGATGTGGTCATATTTGCGCCTCCTCGTCAGGACCCGGGCAGCACAGTTCTGGATGTACTGGAGTTTTTGCAGACCCTTTGCAGAGGTCCCGACGAGGAGGGCATTGCAGTAATCCAACCTGGAGGAGACAAAGGCATGGATCAGCTTCTCAGCGTCCGGTTGTGAGAGGGAGGAGCGGAGTCTGGCAATGTTTTTGAGGTGAAGGAAGGAGACTTTACAGAGGTGGCGGATGTGGGTATCAAATGTAAAATTAGAGTCGAGCCTGACTCCAAGGTTATTAACAGATGTGGACAGGGGGATGTTATGGCCAAAAATTGAAACACTGCTGAGAGGGGAGGACTGGGTTTGGTGGGGGGTGCCAAAGAGGATTGCATCAGTTTTACCACTGTTAAGTTGAAGAGAATTGTTGTCCATCCATGCCTTTATCTCCTCCAGACAAAGCTGAAGGGCTGACGTAAAACCTGTGGGTGAAGTGGAGTCCATTTTCAGGTATAACTGTGTATCATCGGCGTAGCAGTGGAAAGAAATGTTGTGTCTGTTTATGATTTGACCAAGGGGGAGCATGTATATTGTAAAAAGGGTTGGCCCGAGGACTGAGCCTTGCGGTACCCCACAGGTAACTGAATGGGTTGACGATTTGTACTGGCCTAGGGACACATATTCTGTTCTGTCAGTGAGATATGAATGAAACCATTTGAGTGTTGTCTGTGAAAGTCCAATTACTGATTGTAGTCTATGGAGGAGAATGGTGTGGTCCACGGTATCAAAAGCTGCTGACAGATCGAGGAGGAGGAGGAGAGAGGGTGAGCCCCGGTCCGCAGTCATGAGTAGGTCATTCATGACGCGGACCAAGGCTGTCTCTGTACTGTGGGCTGAGCGGAAACCAGATTGAAATTTCTCATATAGGTTATGGGAGCGTAAGTGATTGTGGAGTTGGGCTGCTACTGCTTTTTCGAGGACTTTGGAGAGGAATGGGAGGTTTGAGACTGGTCTGTAGTGGGCTAGGATGTTGGGGTCAAGTGAAGGTTTTTTCAGGTGAGGGCGGATTACTGCATTTTTGAGAGCTGGGGGGACCTGACCGGATTTTAGTGACTGGTTAATGATTTCTGTTATTAATGGGCTAATGGCGGAAAAGTTTGATTTGAGAAGTGTTGTGGGGAGAGGATCCAGCAGACAGGTGGAGGGCTTCATGCTGCTTATGATCCTCTCCACTTCAGACTGGGAGATATCCAAGAAGGAGGTAAAGGTGTTGGGCGGCTTAGGAAAGATTATGTCAGTTGGAAATGGGGTAGTGGAAGGAAGGGCAGACCGGATTGACATTACCTTGTTGGTGAAGTAGTCCATGAACCTATTGCAATGGTCCGTACTGGTGTCAGACAGTGTGTGTGTGTGAGGTTTGACCAGAGTGTTTATTTCAGAAAATAATTGTTTTGAATTGCCAGTGCTATCTGAGATTTTTTGTGAAAAATAGCAAGATCTTGCAGTGGTGAGTGCTCTGGTATATGTTTTTTGGTGTTCACGGTATGCCTGTTTGTGGACTAGTAAGCCAGTGGAGGTGTAGCGCCGCTCGAGGGCTCGGCCAGCTGTCTTCATATTGTGGAGTTCAGGTGTGTACCATGGGGCTGTTCTGGAAAATGTGACTGTTCTGGTTTTAACTGGTGCATGAGAATCAAGGATAATGCGGAGGCTGGAGTTGTAATGAGTGACAGTTTCATTTACAGAAGTGAATTGTGTGACTAGAGAGATTTTATGAATGTCCTGGTTAATGCGGGTGGAGTCAATTGCCTTTAAATTTCTGAAACTGATTTGGCGCTTTGTTTTAATTTGTGTTTCGGCTAAGGGCAGTACCATGGAAATTAATTTGTGGTCGGACACCCCCAAATCATAAACTTGCAGGTTGGAGATGGGGACGTTGTCTGTTATAACAAGGTCAAGAATATGGCCTTTTGTGTGGGTGGGTTCTGAGACATGTTGTGATAGATGTACATAGTCCAAGAGTTCGAGAAATTCTGCAGCAAGACAATTATTTGTAGATTTAATGTGGATGTTGAAATCTCCCAGAATGAGTGTATTATGGGAAGTAGCACAGAGGGAAGTGAGTAGATCTCGCAATTCAGTGATAAAGCCGGAGTTGAGTTTTGGAGGGCGGTAGATGAGGAGCGTTAAAATTGATTTATTTTGTGGTCTGCATTTGAAAAGAAGGGCTTCAAATGTTGTAAGCTCTGGAAGTGGGAGGGGGGTTACAGGTAAGTCCCTGTGATGTATGACAGCCAGCCCTCCACCACGACCAGTGGTCCTAGCCTTCTCCAGATATGTAAACCCTGGGGGGCAGGCTTCATTCAAAGAAATGTATGAACCAGGTTTGTGCCAGGTCTCAGTGAGGCACAACATGTCCAACTTTTTATCCTGAATATGATCCAGAATCAAACTAGTTTTATTGGAGAGTGATTGACTATTTAGCAGATCTATTTTTAATTCAGAAGTGGGCTTATGTTTTGGAAGAGTGCGGAGCAGGCGAAAATCCACCCCGCGTTTTCCATGTCTCCGCTGTTTTTGTTTATGTGGTCTGATGCCGGTCGCATTCTGATGACGTAATCCATGTGTGCCGTGATGATGCAGTCGGTGGATGTGGTGTGGTCCGAGAGAGAAGCTGGTGGAATGTTCTCCGTGGCTGTGGAGCAGGGACGGTCCGCGGGCATGTTGCGGTTGTTGGTGGTGTGTTCCGCACACCCGGGCGCTGACTGGAGCACTGGAGGGTCGATGTGCTCGCTCGGATTGTAGCAGCAGCGGGGTCGGCGTGTGCGGCGTGTGCGGCCTGGGCCAGGTAGACGCGCCTCTCTCTGGCTCCAATGACCCCGACCAGGTAATCGCTTCATCCTTCCCAGATACCGGTGACACCGCGGCACTCGCAGGAAGAGCAGAAGGATGGAGGTGAGGTTGATGCACGGTTGTGTAGTATGAACAGAGGGAGAATACCTGTAAGTTAGCAGTGATGCTCCTGTCTGCGATGGTGTTGACATGGTGGTTCTCTTCCGCTGAGGGGTGTAGCGGGCCTGGACACTGGTGGATGTCCCCCGATAACAGCAGACAGATGGCGATGATAAATGCGATGGTTTGCTTGGGTTTTAGTGCTGTTTTGGAGTGTGATGATCCGGGGCCGAAGAGGTGCGGATGAATGAAAGTGGCAGCCAGGATGTATTTGCCAAACCCAAAGTGCTTGTATGGTTGTATTGTTATTCTTGTGTTTGGAGATGTCAGTACATGTCTATGTGAAGCAAAGTTCATTCGACCAATGTCCAAAATAGTGAGATTGCTCATTATTGTATGCAGAAAGAGAGCTGTAACAACTCCTGCCATACCTGGCGCAGCCATCTTTTTTTCCCGTCCTCCGGGCCACGTGAGAACAGTCCTGATTGATTTCAGGGAAATGTATGATGAGAGGGTATCATGAGAAGGATGTGCAACCGATTGGCTCAGCCAAGTTCTTCTTTCGTTTGTCAAAAACACAGGGAAGGCTGTAATATAATTCTTATTGATCTAAAACATGGCCAAGCTAATGGGATTGTATCACTAATGGACACTGATTGGATCATAGGGAGGGTCTACATGGAGACAGAACCGAAATGGCGAACACTAAGTGCTTATCCATCAACAGCCCATCCCCGTGTGTTTATTCTTCCTCAAATGGTTTCCCAACCATCGGCATGTATAAACCTGGCTCAGACTCAGGCTATTTCCCCTCTCACACTCCTTGAGCATACATGAAGTTTACAACTGCAGTACTCCTCAACAACAACAACAAACGGGTACAAAAAAAAACATACCGGGGGGGGGAGGGGGGGGGAAGAGGCGGGGGCAACGGGGAAACTCTCCGAACGGAGGAGGAGGAAAAGGAGAGAGATACAGCTGGTTGGTAAACATCATGTAAGCTCAAAGAGTGAAGAAAACGCCTGAGTCTGAGCCATGGTTTTAATACATGCCGATGGTATGAAACCAAGGAGGTGGCGAAGCAAACACAACGGGTATGGGCTTGATGATAGAAAGCACTTAGTGTTCGCGCATTTCGTGTTCTGGGTCTCCATGGTAGACCCTCCCTATGACCCAATCAGTGGGTCCATAGTGATACAAATCCCATTAAGCTTTGGCCATGTTTTAGGATCAATAAGAATTTACATTCAGCCTTCCCTGTTGTTTTTTGACCGAACGAAAGAAGAACTGGCTGAGCCAATCGGTTGCATCAATCCTCTCCATGATACCCTCTCATCATTACATTTCCCTGAAAATCATCAGACCATGTCTTTTGTCCACATGATGCTGGTAAAACAATTCATGTTCATTTTTTTTTTGCGACCCCTCCCTTGTAATCCCTGTCCCCAACAACATAACCAGCATAAGCATACACATGTAAGAAATTGTAGAAAGTAGCAAAACTTAATAAATTAATAACACACATCCTTGCGACAATCCTGTTCATTTTCCCCCTCATCAGTATTTTGATGAGATCTCTACAAACACATGGAAACAAAAATTAAGTTTACAATCCTACCTGCAGGATTCGCAAAAAGCCCCAGAAGAGTTCACTGCTGAAAAAATAAACAACAAAATGTTCCAGGTAATGTTTCACCAGCGGTTCATTCTTCTCTCAACTCTCCTGATGGTTCTCTAATGAGACCGACTGTCCTCTCGCCACATTGCACAAACCCGCCCCCATCTTTTTTTCAACTGGGCAAGGTTCTGGAGGGAAATAACAATCTACTAGGGAGTTAATTTATGACATCCAGAAAAAAGAGGACCAACAATTAAACATTTTTCAGTTGTAACAATGTGAAAATTCCCAACGATATGCTGCTCAAAACTGAGTCAACTGTTGAAACATGTGAATCCAGTGAAGCCTACGTTATTATGCATGAGGCAGGAAGGTCTCTATATCAGGTCTTTGATGGTGGGGGGGGGGGGGGTTGGGGGGGGGGGGGGGGGTGGGGGGTGGTGGGGGGGGGGTGGGGGGATGGTGATGGGTGGGGGGGGGTTGAGGGTCTTGAATTAGGGGGTCTGTGTAATTCTTGAGTTATAATGCGAGAAATTCCAAAACTCTCAATTATAGGCATGATTTTAATACAAATCTTTGAAAAAAAATCTTGAAAAAAAATCCTTCAGCAGAAAAGAAAAATGTATTTAGGTCAAAGTCACAAGGTCTGGGAAGTAGTGTTCCTACGCAAATTTTTGAACAAACCAGGTGCACTCAGGTCTTTTGAAAATGTGGACAAATATTCATGATTACATATGACACATCCCGCCCCCAGAGTTTGACACTGTTGTTAATATTGATAAATATACACTAAACAGATGTGACGATAATTGACCATTGAACACTAATTTTAATCATAGCCAAAAAAGGGAACATGTGCCCTCGGTTCCTTAAGTCTCAAGGACACAGGATAAGCAGACAGGAATCAGGAGTACTTGGAGTGAAGAAGATATCTCGCCTTTGAACAAGGCTAATTATTAACATTAAGATAATAAACATTATCGCTTCACTCCTTCTGACGAAGCAAAGTCCCTCAAAATCAGGGCGGAAAGGGAATTCACACCACCAACGGCATTCTGACGCCTCCCAGTGGACAAGGGACGCCAGCACACCCACTCCTATGGAAAACCCTTTGTGGGCGCATATGGATGACGTCATCGGAAGTCCCTCATACATTTAACCCAGGATGTATTATATTAACTGGATAGGGTATTACACTAGCTAGTAGCTGAATAACTCATGTTGCTCAGGGGATTCCTCTCTCCACCGCGGTACACTTGCAGACTGAAAAGCCTGCACTAACTGACTTTTATTTTCTTATTAATTACGAAAATTGCTATCCAGGTCCCATTGTAGTTGCATTTGGGATATAACGTCCTTTTTTTGAAGAAAAAGTAGCGCAGATTTGTGCTGGGCTTGGGCCTGACATTATATTTTCGATCGTGTTTGGATGAAACAAGGAAAGAATGGTGTTACGGGTCGCGATTGTGGCCAATCACAGCGCACCACTACCCCCACCTTTCCGTGAGAAATCTACAGGTCTGTTTAGCCATAGACCCGGCTGATGTATAGCACACAGGAGCCGCGGAGCTACCTGAAACTTTTCCCCTCCGACTTTCGTCAACCGTTTACAGGCTTACACAGCAAACAAGAAGCCATCCAAATGAAAGTCCCATTCCTTCCGCGCTTCCCGGTTCTATCGTTCTATGGTCACTGCCATCCACGTGAAAATCCAATTCATTATTATCCATCACTGAGACCCGCTAGCTCCGTCTCAACCACACTGTGTGTGTGTGTGGGGGGCGATAAAAGCTTCGTGGGTGCGGGGGAGGGAAGCAGAAAGAGCGAGGCCGCAAAGTCCGCGCTTATACAAAATCCCCAAAGTCAGTTAAGTGCAAGCTTGAACCAGACAAATTTCCACGTGGGTCTACCCAGAAATTTTCCCCCATAGAACTCAATGCATATTAAAAACAGCTCGACCTCACTGACAGAGAACCTACACTTTCATAAAGGTCGGATTTTTGTGGGGATTTTATGTCCCTTGTCATCCTGAACTTTTTTTTTCTTTTTTCCCCTTCTAAAACCTTCGGTTTTTGTTTAAAATCCCCACTTGTTTAGTGCCACAAACTCTGCAGTGTCCCTTGTCATCCTGAACTTTTTTTTTTTCTCCCCCATCTTTAAATCCTTCGTTTTGTTTAAATCGCAACACTTTGGTGCCACAAAACTCTGCACCCTCCCCTGGGCTCTCGGTCCTAACTCCCCCGCTCCTGATGAACTGCTCTGATTGGTCAGAGCGCCGGGTGCCGAGACCCTCTGTGCACTCGTGCGTAGACCCGGTGTTGGACCCACACAACGCGTGTTTGCGCAACGCCATTATGGGAGAATTCCATCCACTGCAACAGAACCGAGAGTGCACCACGATGCCCAAATACAGCGAGTTATGCCCATAGATCTTTTGCGAGTTTCAGCAACTTTCCGCTAATTCTTTCATTCAGCCCCCATGCTGTCACAAGCGCGCACTGAGCACACCATTATACATTTGAATAGGGCGCCATCTTCTTGGATCGCCTGGGGCTTGATTTAACCTAACCTCCCTGAAGTCTTGGACAGTGAGCACAGGGGCCAGCGAGGGACACAGAGAGCAGGCATAGTTTAGGAGCTTGTTGAAATTTTCTGTATCAGATTGTAACGATAAATTAAATAAAGATGTTTAAAAACACTTGGATTATCTTCGCTTACTTCTTCTCTGCACAACTTTGAACCACCGTCTGTCAAGGGTAATTTTTGAAAACGACATTTTGGTTTTGATGATGCTCGTGGTATCTGGGATGTGCATCATTTTGAAAGCATGGCGATCGCAGATGTTAGCTTCATTATGTGAAAAATCATGTGGATGCTGGCAAGGAGGAAAAGGCAGTACACGACCTCGGTTCCTTGTAATTGGCGAACGTATAAATGATGGGAGTAAATGACTCTGAAAGTTCAGGATTAGCAAATATTTATTTGAGAGGGTATTTAAGCAATATAACCAAGCACCACCAGAAATAGTTACACTTGTTGTTACATTTGTATATTGCACTAATTAGAGCTATTGTTTGTTGATGTATGATTTCAGATGCCTTGCCTTTGTTCACTTAACCATATTATTCTGTCACTAGTAGTAGAATTGGGATTCCAGTTAGATAGCGCACGAAAGCCATCCCACAATTTGCTGCTTTGTGGGTAAGCATTGTTCTACAAGGTTAGGGTCAGTCTGAGACAATGGACCGAGCCTCCAGCACGCGCAAAACTCAATTTAGTTGGGAAATAGGTACCGAGAGATCGTACGTACTTAATGAATACCAAATGAATGCCATTTTTTTTAAAATGCCCACTACAATGTGCACCCTAAACTAACTGCTAAATATTTGCTGTGAAAACCCCCAAATCGAGTGGCCCTCATGTCTTTTTTCTGCGCATTAGAGCGGCTCGTGCTGGAGTTTATTAAGCGCAGAT